TCCACCTCCCAGGTTCAAGCAATTCTCCTGCCTCCACCTCCCAAGTAGCTGGGATTACAGGCCCCTGCCACCACACTCAGCTAATTTTTGTATTTTTAGTAGAGACAGGGTTTCACCATGTTGACCAGGCTGGTCTGGAACTCTTGACCTCGTGATCTGCCCGCCTTGGCCTCCTAAAGTGCTGGGATTACAGACGTGAGCCACCGTGCCTGGCTGGGAGACAATAATTAAAATGAGAAGCCATGCTAGCTGAATAGGGTGGGAAGTGAAGAAAGAGGGAGGTGGATGGGCAGAGAGAAAGTGGTGTGGAGATCTCAGTGTGTTGGAATAACAAGTGTGATGGGAGTGGTCAAGGGAGAGGGTAAGCTGGGGGAATAGGATGTTGTAGGCAGGGTGGAATGTCAGAATTAATTTTTTCAGAGCTGGACCAGTTTGCACATTAGCAGTGTCCAGGGTGTGGCCAACCATTCCAGTAGATGGCTGAAGTGGCATAAAGTAAGTCATTGATCTCAGACATCTGGGTAAGGGATGGGTCTTCATTTGAGTGTTGAACATAGACAGAATGGTGAAGAGGAAGACTTTTACATCAGGAGCCAGAGTCTTCAGTTTACATCCTGGAGGTCAGTAGATACTGATTATCTTATGGATCCTGATGACCTTGAGCCTCAGCTGAACAAGGGTTTTTACAAGGGAGTAAAGGAGGTGCAGGTGGGAAGCAACAGTGGGGAACAAAGCAGATGGCCATTCGACATGATGACCTTGATTGGGTGTGGGAAGATGAGCAGTACCTTCTTGAGAGGACAGCTGCGAGGCTTTGGGAGTTCCAGATAGCACATTGCTGGGGTTTGGAAGGAGAACAGGAGTGAGGGGTTGTATTATGGAGGGAAAGGAAGCACTAGTTATGAGAGTGAAGATGAAATATGGAAGGAGTTTATATCTTGGACAGTGATTTGAGTATGATTCTGGCATGGGTACAGGGGCATTGCAGTTTAGTTGTGGCTTAGGAAGAGGCCCATTGTCTGTGATTTTTGTCTTCAGAGTGGGTGGCAGCAACTGTGTGGAACAGCAGCTCAATTACTTTGTCCGGTGAGGCGATGGTAGGTTACAGCGGACAGTGCCCAGTGCTAAATTCTGGTAAGGAGGAGGAGTTGGGGTAGCTGCTGACCTTCCATCTCTGCCTTTCTCCCTAAGACTCAAGGCCTCATGGCATTCTGACTGATGTTTAGCTTTGTGGGGTTGCTTTTTGTGGTTGATCTGGTTCTGACTGATAATATAGATACACGATTCTAGCTTTGGAGTCTGAATGGACGATGATACTCTTGACTAAAAGAAGAGATAAAAGAGAAGGGACAGGTGTCCATGAAAACCCCAGGTTGAGATGCTCAGTAGGAGGGAAGTGTGTGTAAATACAGTTTTGGGAGCCATCTGCATATAGGATTGAAGAAGCCATAGTATTCATATTGGAAAATTCTGTAATATTGACAAAAGGAAAAGGGCAAAGGACTGAACTCTCTGGGAAATGCCCCCAGAGAAAAATGGACCAATTAAAATGATTTCTTGAGATGATACGTATCAAGACATTTTCATGTATAAAACATTTTGAAATCTGTTTGATAGCTTATAGTCTTTTATCATATCTCAAAAATTGAGTTCCAAATAGTTTATTTTCTTAATCATTAAAACTTTTTTTGTTTTTAAATGGGAGACTTCTTGGATTCCACAGTGTGTACCCCTTTGTCCTTAAAGTATACTGAACATAATTAGCCTTTTTTTGATGACTCAGGATAGTTATTATAAATATCAGTTATTGAATTGTAACTCAGGCTGGGCATGATGGCTCACGCCTGTAATCCTAGCACTTTGGGAGGCTGAAGCGGGCTGATCACTTGAGGCCAGGAGTTGGAGACCAGCCTGGCCAACGTGGTGAAACCCTGTATCTACTAAAAATACAAAAAATTAGCCGGGTGTGGTGGTGCGTGCCTGTAATCCCAGATACTTGAGAGGCTGAGGCAGGAGAATTGCTTGAACCCAGGAGGCGGAGGTTGCAGTGAGTCCAGATCGCGCCACTGCACTGCAGCCTGGGTGACAGAGCAAGACTCCGTCTCAAAAAAAAATAGAGAGATTATTCCTAATTTAATTCCATGCAACCCTTCCAGCCCTATTTGTACCAGTCCTACTCTGTCTCTTTGCCATTAAATCTAATTATCCCCCCTTCTCTCCCCCAGATTTTCTACTCCAGTCAGCTATTCTGTTTCCCAAATATCCTCTGTACTTCCTCCCTCTCATAGTTGACCTGTCGTTTCTAGCTGGTGAAATCCTACTCAACCTTCAGTGTACAACTCATATGACCACATCCTCTGGCGGACTTAGTCATTCTCTTATGTTTTCCAGAGCATTTAATGGATCACATACATCACATGATTCAAGAAATTACAGCTAGTTGCGGTGGCTCGTGCCTAGTTATCCCAGCACTTTGGGAGGCCAAGGCGGGCAGATCACCTGAGGTCAGGAGTTGGAAGACCAGCCTGGCCGACATGGCGAAGCCCCGTCTCTTCTAAAAATACAAAAATTAGCTGGGCACGGGGGCGCACGCCAGTAATTCCAGTTACTTGGGAGGCTGAGGCCAGAGAACTGCTGGAACCTGGGAGGCAGAGGTTGCAGTGAGCTGAGATCATGCCTCTGCACTCCAGCCTGGGTTGACAGAGCGAAACTCTGCCTCAAAAAGAAAGAAAGAAAGAAATTACTTTACTTGTGATTTACTTTAATTACTGACCTGCCAATAAGCTGTGTTTTTCAAATTTTAGTACATATTGGAATTGTTTGAATATAAGAAGTTGAATTCTCAAGAAAGTTTGATTAACTAGATTTGGGGTTGAGCCTAAGCTTCTGCATTTTTTAGGGCAAATACTTTTCGTTAATTCTGATGCGAGTTGTCCAAGGACCATAATTTGAGAAACCAACAACATAGTTAATGGATTCCGCCAGGGCAAGGGCCATGACTTACCTGCTTATGTATTTTCAGAGCCTGCCATGTAGATGATGCTAAATGAATGTTTCTAGAATGAAATAGAGTTTACTGGGGAAGGCCTTTCGGCATGTAATTTTTGAGTTGAGACCCAAGTTGTTGCAGAACCTTAAGAAAGGTTTTATCTTTCAAAGGTATACAAAATAGCACAAGACAACATTTCCCATGTGGTTTCCAAAATACTCCTGCTAAGGCATACTTTGTGGGAAAAGGGTTTGTTTGGTGGTCAGATACTTTTAGAAAATGGTGTCTGTTGGACCTGTGCCTTTCACCCTTCTCAAGACACACTAGCGGATTGAAGCTTTTGAGATGTTCTGTGGGAGAGAAACCCTTTTAATCTTTAAAACGTTTTGACAAAGCACTTTCCCTACCCTTTTTCCCCAGATAATGCCTTTTTAGAACCTGCAGAACTAATGTCTTGAGGTATTTTCTTTGGAAACTGCTCACGTAACCAAAAGTAGAACAGTAGGAGTTAACCCTTTATGTGTGATGATGACCTATAATTACCTAGAATTGGAGAGGCCACTCTGGGAAGTTTTAAGAAAAGAGATAAAAGATTAGGCAATATATAGGGAAAGACATTTTTCTATGGTAGGCTCTATGTTTGTATTTTGGTATAATTGCTCTAAATTGTCCTGGTCAGTTGTAAGTGTTAAAATAACTGTAGTATAGACGATAGCAGACAGGTTTGAGCATGGAAGGATTGAATTTGGCTAATGGCTACTGGAATGCAAAAGGCGGTATGAAGTCAAAGACAGTAGATGAAGGATCTGTAGGATCTGGTAACTAATTAAATCTGGAAAAACAACTTGGATATTTTAATTCAGAGGTCTAAGTGGACCATATACTTTTTGGACATATAGTTAGACTAAGGTGAAAAAAACATACTGTATTATTGACAGCTGAAAAGGTGTATAACAACAGGGACTAGTTTCTGTAAGTTTTTAAATTTAAATTTTATTTTGTTTATATTTTATCTTTAACAGGATAAAATTTATTATAATATAATTTGCCTTCTAAAAAGAGTCCATATAGAAATCACTAACTTAAACTGAATTCATACACAAACTTCAAATCACATCAGAAGTTTTTTCCTGGAAAAATTAGGTCCTCTTTTTTCAATAATTAGGGTTTGTTTATCAGAAATGACTTAGTGATAACAAAGCAAGAGACATTTTAATATTATTATACATTTAATTTAGACAATGGGGAAATTCCTTCACGCTACCTCATAATATAAAACAGGTTTATTAGGCCTTGAGAATCATAGAATATTTATAATTTTCATGTAAAATAGGAAACATAATTTTCCAGTCATTCATGCTAAACAGCAGGGTTGAAGTAATAATCAGGAAGATTTTATTATAAGTTTTTTAAGTTTTAAAATAAGGTAGTTCTCACAAGACGTTTTGCAGTGCTCCCTTGGTAATGTTCATATTCAGTGAGCAGAAAAGAAAAGCTGAGAGAGTTAGGACTCTACTATTGAACCTGTTTCTTGAAAAAAAAAAAAACAAAAGACAAAAACCGATAGTACAATTGGATGTCAGAAATGGTTATTAGAAAGCTAGGTAAAAACAGTACAGGTTGAGTATCCCTTATCTGAAATGCTTGGGACCAGAATTGTTTCAGAATTTGGATTTTTTTGGATTTAGGATATTTGCATATACATGTGAATTACCTTGGGGATGAGAGCCAGGTCTAGACACGAGATTCATTTATGTTTCATATACACCTTATAGTCCGAAGGTAATTTTATTCAATATTTTTAATGATTTTTGTACAAGATACAAAGTTTTGAGCCATAGCATGAGGTCACATGTGGAATTTTCCATTTGTGGCATCATGTAAATGCTCAGAAAGTTTCAGATTTTGGAGCATTTCAGATTTTGGATTTTTGGATGAGGGATGTTCAACCTGTATTTCCAAATACTTAAGATAGGGCCTTAATTTGTCTTCCTTTTTATTGTCTTTTCAGACAAATGACCATGGAAACAGTTGAATCCCAGCATGATGGAAATATAACAGCTTCTTTGACAGAGAGCAAGTCTGCTCATATGCAGACTCAGACTGGCCAAAATTCAATCCCTGCTTTAGCTCAGGTAGGCAATAGGCAGGCACCGTTGAAAGTCAAAATACATGGAAATGAGAATTAGGTGCAGATTCTGTTTTATTGCCATTGATCTTAAATTTTCCATCTTGGTTATCAGCCATTCTTGCTGATTTGATTGTGAAGAAAAGATACATATTGTGATTAGCCTTGCATTTTAACAGACATTCAGCAGTGCCCCATCTCCACTGCCACTACCACTATGGACAGAAAAACAAAAACCCTTCTGGAATATGTAATCCTCAAAGTATGATTTGAGAGGGTTGTTAATTCGAAATCGATACAGTTCTGATGTCCTTAGCTGTTAAGATGACAGAAATCTTACCATTTGCCCAGTATGTATTTGTCTCGATCATTACTTTCTTTTCAGTTAGGTCTCTAACTTTGAATTGGTTTCATTCAGAGAGCACCAGTATCAGTCAGTACCTGTTTCCAGATCCGAAAATTTATTTCTGAGGTATCTATAAAAATATATAGCAAAAACAAACACATTTGTTTGTTCATCAAATATTTATTGAATGTCTGCTGTGTCTAATTATTCCAGATGCATGTGGATATGTAGTTTCGGGCCTTAAATATCTCATGGTTTGGTAGGGTAGACATATTTTAGCAATAACTCCAGTAGGGTAAGAAGTGCTGTAAAATACTATGTAGAAAATGAATAAGGCCTACAGAAGAGGGAGCAGCCAGCTGACTAGGAGTGTTTTACAGATCTCCTTTGAGCTAGACACAAAGGATGAGTAGGAGTCTGCCAGGTTGATAAGGTGAGGAAGCGTATTCTAGGCAGAGTGAAGAGTGTGCATAGAGGCACAAAGCCAGGGCATGGGATGTTCAGGGAACTATGGGTATTGAGTTTAACTGGAGCCAGGTGTCTGGGGTGGGCAGTCCAGCTGGTGAAGGTAAGCAGAGGATTGTATACATTTCAGGGTTTAGAGTACACTGTGCTCTAAATAGCCCTGAAATATTTTCAGGTGCCCACCATATTTTCAGTTTAGACACTAGTAGCCATGTGGAGGTGGAATTGGAAGTCAGTGAGTCGGAAGTGAAGACACCATCAGGATGCCTGGTGGAATCAAGGTAGCGTGAGGTACAGAGCAGTGGTGAGACCTTTGTGGTATGTTAAAGGGAGAATAAAAAGGACCTGGTGGCTGACTGGAAGGCGTAGGGGGAACACCAGGCACTTCTTGGTTTATATTAGGCCAGACTGGTGTGAGAGCTCTCCTTTCCCATGCACCCAGCCTACTTTTCTTTCCTCTTTAAAGCTGCCAACACCCACTCGTTCCCTGGAGGTTTTCTGCGATGTTCTGTAGAGCTGTATCTCCCTAGCAACACCTTTTGTTACACTGAAAGACAGGCATGTAGGCCAGGCCTTTTGCTTAAACACACAAACACACACACACCCCCTCACACATGCACCCACCCTTGTTTAAAAAAAAAAAATGCATGTTCATTGTAGAAAATAAATATTACTAAAATGAAGAATATGAAAACTATCCATGATCTTAACATCCAGAGATTTAATCATTGTTAACATTTTGGTGTAGCTCCTTTAGTCTTTATTGTCTGTGTGAATCGAATAGAAAACATATACTTTTTTTCATGATTTTGGGATTTTCCAGAATTTTTAGAGCTATGATTTCTGGTCAGTAATCTCCCTTTGCTGAAGTTGTAGTTGAAAGCACTTTTTTTTTTTTTTCAGTAGAGACAAGTTCTCACTATATTGCCCAGGCTGGTCTCAGATTCCTTTGCAGAAGCTGTCCTTGCACCTCAGCTTCCCAAAGTGCTGGAATTATAGGCGTGAGCTTCTTGTACCCAGCCTGAAAATACATTTTATTCCTTCTGACTCTACTTCCCTCTGGGTGGGTCCTGGCTCACTAAGTTCTACAGATGCCTTTTACCCCAGAATTCTGGGGCTGAAGTCCCAGCAATAGATTCCCATTATCTAAATATGGTAATTTGCAATTCTGAGGACCTTCAGGCTGGGTGACAGCCACATCTGTGAGCCTCACTCAGAAATTGCCAACAGGTGGCTGGGTGCAGTGGCTCATATCTGTAATCCCAGTACTTTGGGAGGCCGAGGCAGGTGGATCGCTTGAGGCCAGGAGTCCGAGACCAGCCTGGCCAACATGAAGAAACCCTGTCTCTACTAAAAATACAAAACTAGGTGGGTATGGTGGCACATGCCTGTAGTCCCAGCTACTCGGGAGGCTGAGGCACGAGAGTCTCTTGAACCCAGGAGGCCGAGGTTGCAGTGAGCCAAGATGGAGCCACTCCACTCCAACCTGGGTGACAGAGTGAGACTCTGTCTCAAAAAAAAAAAAAAAAAAAAGGTTGCCAACAGGTTGAGTAATGTGGAGTCTGAAAAGTAGCCTTGGGTTTCTGAGGGCTTGGAATTGAATAGGAGTCCAGTGGACAGAAACTAGCTTAGAGAATAAGAGGAGGGGAAGTGGAAATTGGAAGTATAGAGTCTTTTAAGAAACTTGTCTTGAAGTAAGAGCAAGATGGGTTTGTGAGACAAAAGGGTGAGAACTGGGATGTGGGAAATTTGGGAATGTTTTGAATAAAATGGAAGATTATAGAAACTTGTGAGAAGGCAGAATCAAGGAACTAGAAAAAACCTGTGTTTATGTTTGTAATGCTTCTTTAAAAATCTCAAATAATGTATGCTAATAAATATTGATAGTTATTAAATCTGGATAGTAAATTCATGGAGTTTTGCTGTTTTTCTATTTTCTGTTGTTAGAAGTATTTTTTGTTGTTGTTTTTGTTTTGTTTTGTTTTTGAGACGGAGTCTCATTCTGTCGCTCAGGTTGGAATGCTGTGGTGCAGTCTCAGCTCACTGTAACCTCTGCTCACTGCAACCTCCACCTCCCGGGTTCCAGCGATTATTATGCCTCAGCCTCCCGAGTAGCTGGGATTGCAGGCATGTGCCACCATGTCTGACTGATTTTTGTGTTTTTAGTAGAGACAGGGTTATGCCATGTTGGCCAGGCTGGTTTTGAACTCCTGACCTCAAGTGATCCACCTGCTTTGACCTCCTAAAGTGCTGGGATTACAGGCGTGAGCCACTGCACTCGGCCTGTTTGAAGTATTTGATCCAACGGTAAACTATGGTTTTTGTCTTTCACATGTTAGAAATATAAAGAGATTAAGAAGTAATCTGTATGCTGACTCATTTATTATTTTATTTAAGAATTATCCTCCATACCATGCATGGATCGTGATTTTTTGAAGAATTAGAAGACAATTCTTAGCAGTCAGAATTTTCTGAACGTAATTACTCATTTAAGTTCTTGTGACACCAGCAGCTGTTTGTTTATGAGTATTATTACTATCATACGATGTCATATATCTTATAAGGAGTAGGAAATCAAGCTGAACTCCATTAACCCTATGATGTATGCCAAAAGTGACTGACTCTTCTGAATTTCTGATGGCTTTATATTTGCTTGCTGCTTGACTCATTTTTCTTCAAACTTAAGGATTGTAAATTTCCATATGTTTTAGATTTAAATTTGGTTGTATATAAAGAGGAATTTCTGACACCTTCCTTGTTTATATTATCAGATTATCAGTAAACAGTGTGGGAACAAAAGGTGTGAGCAGAACATTCAGTGGGTTTGATTCTCTGCATCTAATGTCATTTGATACTAGTTGTTTTGACTGCTCTGGCCTTTCCAGAGCTTCTGCTAATCAAGAATATACTCTGAAAATCATCAGAGACCTAGCAACTATTGAGCTTGGTCTTGGCTGTCAGGCCCCTGTTCTGCTGATGGATTGAGGTGAGGTGCAGGTACACCAAGGGAGACTGGAGTTTTGCTTTTCTATTTTATAACTTTGTAGTAATAAATGGAGCCTTTCTCTTCTGTTTGAAAACAAAATCACGGTGGTGGTAATGTCAAAAAGTTGGAAGCACGAGTTGCCATTAACAAATCCTGATAACTGGAGGTTAAATGTTGTCTTGGCTTTCTTCTTGTCTAAATTATTTTTATGCTGATTTATTTTTAATGGAAGCTGGTATTTATTAAGTACTTGTGTTGATGTATAGTACTAGACC